TACATGGCGGGCGGGTGGCTCCGAGTTCTTCGCCCCCAGGTCCTGGAACTTCTGGGTGGAGCTGGCCACGGTGGCCCGGAGCAGGGGCGTCTGCACCCTCCGGGGTGGGGTGGAGTTGGGCGTGTCGACCTCCTCGACCTCGAAAGATCTTTTCAAGGCTGAAAGACAGAGAGCAGGGCGGGATGAGTGGGGGCTCAGGAACCTCAGAACATCCCACGTGCAGCTTCACCTCTCAGAAGGGGGAGGGGACAGCACCCCTCTACCAGGAGCCTCCGAGGCCCAGCGATCGTGGGGGAGAGAGAAAAGGCTGGAGCCTAGAAGACGCCCGCCTCGCTGTCCCACCACGACCACGCGTGGACCAGCCACGTTTCCTGTCGGGATGCCTGGTCCCGGGAGCCTTTGACTCCTTCCTCGGCGTGGCCTTCCTTCCTCCTCCTCGCATGCGCCCAACTCGACACCATCAGCAAACACGCCGTCGCCGCCACCCCCGCAGCAGCCAGGGACACGTTCCCAGAAACGACAGCACCGCGACGCGTCAGAGCCGCGTGAAGATGACATCATCGCAAACAGCAGCGCGAGGAGCCGGCTGAGCATCCACGGAGGCGAGGACTGGCCACCGCGCACCTCTCCCCGAGCGCTCGAGACAAACACGCCGCAAATGAAGCTACTCTCCCCGGTACAGACGGGGACACGGAGGCCCGGGCGAGGCCATGTTCCTGTTAAAGCATCGGCAGCTCGCCCCGGCCGGTGTGGCTCAGTGGATAGAGTGCTGGCCTGTGGACTAAAGGGTCCCGGGTTTGATTCCGGGTTAGCACACATGCCTGGGTTGTGGGCTCGATCCCCAGTGGGGGTGCGCAGGAGGCAGCCCATCCATGATTCTCTCTCATCATTGATGTTTCTATCTCTCTCCCTCTCCCTTCCTCTCTGAAATCAATAAAAATATATTTAAAAAAGAAAAAGAGTGGACAGCTAGAAAGATCTGAGCTGGGTGAGGCAGTTAGGGCTTGGAGGAAATACGTGTGAGATGTGACACCCCAAAATTAGATGCTGCAGACAACAGACCCCCATGGGACAGGGAAGACCTGGGGCCCCTCTGGCGCAGTCTGACCGGTGGGTGACGTAACCCTGGGTGAAAGAGCCTTAGGGCCTGGAGATAAATATTCTTCTGAGAAATGAGGGGGGAAGAGGCTTATTAGGGACGCTCCGGCCGAGAGGTGTAAGCCCCCCAACCCCCCTGAGCGGGGCACTTGGTTTGGTTGGGGGGCTCGTCGCCCGCTCAGACTGTATCCGAGTGGATCCTTTCCTGCAAATAGTCTCGCCTGCTTTGCTGCTACGTGCTGCCTCTTGTTTGAATGTGTTCCCACAGGGAGACAAGAGCTGAGGACGCAGGGTCCGTCTCCGACCTGAGGCCCCCTGGCCACCCTGACCTCCCCTGCAGCAGGGACAGGGGGCTGACCCAGAGGCGGGTCTGCCTGGCTCCAAGGCCCACGGTTCTAGGCACGCGGCCGTGCAGTTTCTGGTGGAATCCCGTGGAGTCCCGGCGTGGTCTGCCCCCTCTCGGCCCCGATGGTCTGTCCTCACCCTCCCCTGCACCTGCCTCCCCTGCCCTGCTTGTCCTGGCCAGACCCGCCCCAGTGGGGCACACTGACTCCCACCCCGCCCCCCGCCCTCCACCTCTCTGCTCCCTCCCCGCAGCCTTCTCCTTGCTCGGCCAGTTCCCCATCCACCCAGGGTCTCCCCAGCCCTCTCCTCGCTCTCCTCGCCTCACCCACCAGAGCCCAGGATTTCAGGCCACAAGACAGGGCCTGCTGGGGGGCGGGCAGGAGGCCGGGGAGTGTGTGATCCCAACACCGGAGTGGGGGACGCGAAGGAGGCCCCGTCCCTGATGGCTTCCCCCTGAATCCCCGTCCCCCAGCCCTGGCTCTCCCAGCAGGCCCTCTAAGCCCTGGGCACACTCCTTCTTGGCGAACACAGAAACCTGGTGGCAAAGCTCAGCTCCCCACACCAAGGCCTGGCAGGGACAGGAGGGGGAGCTGTGCGGATCTGGGTCATGTTACGGGCCATTCAAAGGCTGAACCCTCTGGGCTACAGTGTGGTGTGGGGCAGGGAGCAGCGGGAGGCTCCCTCTGAGGCAGCAGGGGAGACGAGAGGCGCCAGGTGGTGACTGTGCAACAACTTTTACAGCTGTCGGTGTGTGTGCCATCTGCACGTGTGCACCATGTGTGTGTGCGCGTGTGTGTGTGTGTGCACTGTATGTGTGTGTGTGTGTGCGCGCATGTATGTGCGGTCACCCCCCACAGGTGGCCAAGACTGCACGGCCCTTCCCCACGTCCATCACCCCACGGCCAGTCCCCCCTCCGCCCAGAGCCTCTCCTGGTGGCACCTGGTGCCCCAGACGGGAAGGCGGGGAGGGATCACCCTGTTCCCCACACCAGCAGCTCTGGGCTGTAACTGGAGTCGACACCCCAACCCAAACCCACCTGGTGGGCCAGCTCGGGGTGTGGGTGCAGAACTGGGGGTGCCCACGGTTGCCGCGCCGTCACATGCGGGGATGCACCTGAGCGGCCACTGCCCTCCCTGCCCTGTCCCCTCAGGGACCCCCTGGGGCTCTGTGGAGGAGGGGACGGAGGAGGCGGGTGGGGGAGGAAGGCTGGGAACAGAGGCCCATGCGGGTGGGAGAAGTGGGGGCGGGGCCTCAGAAAGCAAAACAGTCCCCAAGGGAGGGAACGCTGAGCTGTCA